TGTAATTCTCTTATTTTTAAACTTTATATCAAAATGATACGAAATGACTGCTTTAACGCTTGGATTAATATATTTGCGCTGGTAGCCCATTAACGCGGGACGAATTTATTATAATTATTAACTTTCGCGATAAAGAACGCGTATAAACGTGTTTCGCAATACTGGAAACACGTTAATTCCTGTGCATTACTCCTAAACAAATAATTTATACTTGGAACTTTGTCCATTTACCTAATGGAGATATATATTGTTTGCTGAAATCTTCTCGTTTTTTTTTTTTTTTTTTTAATCTTTACTCTAATTGGAATTTTACACTCCATTTTACCAAGCATTTTTCACGAGGTAAAACGTGTTAATTATAGCAGTTCAATAACCTCCTAAAAACGCGGCAAACTCGAACGAGTCTCTCCAGCTCTCCTCCGGGTCAAGAATCATTAGACTGCCAGATCGCTGATAGGCAGGTTTTTTAATCAATTCCTCCCTTATTATATTAATAAAATACTCGTTTTATTAAAGAATAACCCGAATAATTAAAAAGAAAAAATTATATCGTTCGTTCGTGATGGATCAATTTCCCGAAAGAAAATCTTAAATCTTCCAAAATAAAACACAACGCGGGCCAATCGTCGTTTTAAAAATTTCTCGAATTCACGAAAACGAATATAAACATCAATTTACGCGATTCAAAATTGTTCCATTACTCGAGATCGATCATTAATTATATTCGAGTAAAGCGAAACCATTACCATTCTCTACAGCGACGTCAAAGCGTGGATCGAACTTCGTCTCACCACCATCCTTTCCATCGATCCCCATCTCGACCACCTCCTCAAGCATCCCTCTGCCATGCTCCTCCTGCTCGTCCTTGAAACGCACGCTTTTCCCCTCGCTGAACAGGACACCCTCCCCCGCCCTCCTCCCCTTCAAAATAGGCGCGCCAACCAACAGATCGATCCCCAACCCTCCCCCAAACCCCCCCAAACCGGATCCCCCCCCGTTGCCGCGCGTATCCACCCGTCCCCGGTCACCCAAAATGGCGGCCGATCGGGAAAAATCGAGCGCAGGAATGGCGACAGTGTTCATCCTCTTCAAATCCAACGTGTTCAACTTCTTCTCCTCCAAGCTTCCTCCCCTCCTTTCGCCCCAGGTT